AATGTCCTCAGGGCACGCAAAAAACTTCCTGCAGAGTAAATGTCCTCAGGGCAAGCAAACAACTTCCTGCAGAGAAAATGTCCACAGGGCACGCAAACAACTTCCTGCAGAGAAAATGTCCTCAGGGCTCGCAAACAACTTCCTGCAGAGAAAATGTCCTCAGGGCTCGCAAACAACTTCCTGCAGAGAAAATGTCCTCAGGGCTAGCAAACAACTTCCTGCAGAGAAAATGTCCTCAGGGCTCGCAAACAACTTCCTGCAGAGAAAAGTGGAAGGGAAAAAAAAGTCTGACAAAGAAAGCGAAGGGAAGACAACATCAAAGAATGGACAGGCCTGTCTTTGAAAAAAATCACTTATATAGACCCCCGGCGGACAACGGCTTTGTCTACATTAGTTGTGGCTAAATATGCAGGTCGCAAATGGTTTTGCGTTGTGAAATACTGCAATCATCCTTCATCTTAATGGAAGAGAATGCGAAGCATTAATTTTCGATGCGTTTTTTAAAGTCTTCCAGTACAAAAAAAAGACAGGATGAATTAATCTTATTGTCACGTGATCTGTTTCTGGTTTATAATGAGTCACCAAGAATTTAAATTAAACTAGTGCATTTTAAAAAGTGTTTTAATGTACTTAAACTTGAGTCTTTTTTTTTCAGTAAGAAGTTTCTCTGGTGAGCTTTAATGTTTGTTTGTTTGTTTGTACTAAGAAGTGTCACTTGTCTAATAACTTCACATATTTCTGGAAATGGAAAAGTACAACATCAGTAAAAACATAATCAAAGTTTTCCAGAACCTCTACAAGGATTTCATTACACATTTCAATGTAAAACAAACTTCTGTAATTGTTGACTTCATGGTTCTCTGGCAGTGTCGGAGCGGAGGGGGAGAGTGAAGACAAAAATGTCCTTGTGTAGGCGACACTATATTTTCGTTAACCGAGAAACCAAAATCATTCGCCATAAGGAGGGTTATAATTTGTTATCAATCACTGACTTCCAAATGTTGTCTCCACTATCCAATCATACTGATTATAAAGAAATATATTTAAGATATTATTTTCTAAGCTGATCATATCAAAATATGCTTTCAAGAGCCCTAAACTATGTAATTATACATTTCTTTTTATAAGATACATGTAGACTGGTTTTAGACCCCCCCCCCCTTTTTTTTTTTTCCTTTTTTTTTATTGCAAATCAATGATCCCCTCCCCTTGAAAGAAACCGGAAACACGTGAACAATAAACATGCCCAAAAATCCACATTATGGCTTTTCTACACAGGCATTGTACTGAATAAAAACAAATTATAATCTTGGTCAAAACGAATTCCTCATGCGCAATAGCCATTCTTCATTTATCGTAATAGGATTTCTAGAAAATCCTTTTCACAAAGCCTCTCGCTCAGAAGCCATAGGGCTCCTAATATACTGATAAAATCGCGAGGGAAAACTGGAAGAAAAAACGTCTGCCGATAGAAAGTGTTTTTTTTTTTTCCCTCCACCGCTGATCATTATATAACACAATAAGGCAGACCAAGGAAAAGTCAGGCACGCGAGAACCGATCGAGGAAGTGCCCAAGACGGGCAACGCCAGATTTCAATCTGAATAAATTTGAAAGTTGATTGAAAGGGGAAACCATTTGTTTAAAGTTTGTTTCCAGTCGGTTATCCCCCTTTTTAATGGTTTGATTACAGAGGCCGCTGAAGCAGAAGTGAAACTTCTTAAAGGCAGGCGATCCAATTTACAATATGCTTTGAATTTTAATGAATGTGCGCCCGACTTCATCTTCCGTTGATGCCAAGTAAAAACAAAAAATCGATGGCTGTGTCAGAAAAATGCTTCAGGCGTGTGCTATGGTTAGGAGATGTACGAATAGAAGACCGGGAAATACGCTTTCAAAACAACAAACAAACAAAAAAAGAGAGGGTTCAGGAAGTCGTGTCTTTTTTATTTCCAACTACAGAAATGGAAAAGAAACGAAACGAATCGTTGTTATCTCTTTGAAATCCTTGAGAATCAAATAGGATTTATACCACCGTTAATGATGAATAATTCATGTGGTCACAATAGATATTTAAACAGAGAAAACATAGGCAAGTGCAAAACACATTAAAGAGACAATCATTTTTTTCATGGTTCTTTGTAAAAAAAAAAAAAAAAAAAAAAAAAAAAAGGAAATAATCTTTCTTGTTCCACAACAATAAATATTTGAACATCTGAGATTGATAAACTTTTTTTGGAATGTCTTCACGCAAGCCTCATCTGTTGTTAGAATATACATGAAGTCAATTGAACTGAGTTCTCATTAATCCTGGGAACAGCTGGACAGAATTTCAAAACATGTCAACATACTTGAAAGCTACAAGAACTTTTCTTTGATCCACTCAAATGTAGCACGTTTCAGAATGTCAAATAAAACCAAGTTTGTTTGTTTGTTATCTACATAGAAGATTCGTCCAGAAACTCTGTAGAGTTAACTAATCAAGTGTTTAATGGGGGAGATGCTCATACATGGAGGCAAAACCATTATTTGCCAAGTTTTTGATGTATCCGGTGTACAGAATACGGAAGTATTGATAAGCGAAGTATTTTAATAAACCGTATATTTTTTTTTTTTATAGAAATGTGAGGAACAGACAAGGTATTAGCACAAGTAATAAGCTAGGGGTCTATTGGGCTATCGTCCTCCCAACGTTACTCTACACATCAGAAACCCGGAATAGTACTCAGAAGACATGCAAGAAAAATTCGAACCACTTCCACATGATCTGTCACGTGATCTGCCTCAGAAAAATTCTGAGTGTTATATGGTAAGACGAAATACCGGACACTAAAGTCCTCCGAAGAGCGGGTCGCAAAGGATCCAGACAATCCTGATACAGTCTCCATTGCAATGGGCTGGACACGTCTGTATGATTGAGGACCCAGGCATCCCTAAAATATGTATTTATGACCAGCTCAGGAAAGTGAGCACAAGAAAACGTTTTAGGGACAATCTCGAGGCGTCTCTGAAAGACTTTAACATTGACCTTGCCATCTGGGAATCGAAAGCACATGCCAGAGCATCGTGGTACAGCGCTCTGAAAATGGGCGCAAAAATTGCTGAGGACACGGAAACAGCGATGGCAAAAGAAAAGCGCCAGGAAAAAATATCAAGGCAACTGACACAAACTCCAGTTGGAATAACCTGCCCAGTCTGCAGCCGAACATTCCGAGCTCACAAAAGTCTCACCAGTCAAATGAGGAGGTACAAAAACTTAGATCAACTCTGCGTGGAATCTTGCACACGTCATTTCTCCCACTTCCCCATTCTCGAACCAAGATGAAACTTTGCACAATTATTCAATGTCGATGATAACACATGAATCAATTTAAAAAATTAACCAATACGTTAATCAATTAGTCGTAATTAATTTTGTCATACATAGAAAATGAATTAAGCTTAGGAGAGATAAGCGTAGGTCTTTGGCTAAAAAATTTAACCTTCTAATTTTTTATTTGAATAGCTGAGTGGCCAGCATGTGGGCCTTCCATCATGGAAGCTTGATACCTCGAGTTCGAGTTCAGACTCGAGCAACTTTTTTTTAAAGGCAGTACGGAAACCTTCTCCAAGATACCTCCAGCCCCCCCCCCCCCCCCCCCCCGCCCTCACTGGTCCACATAGCACTCTATAAGAATGAAAGTTGCGATAAACAAAAACAATTCATTAAAATTTTCCAATGGCACAAATTCATTATTGTTTGCGTAGAATAGATCTACTAGAAATTAATTAGTGATTGAGTCAAAATATTTGATGCAGTTTCACTTAATATTATCTCAATAAAAACAAAGAATAGATAGTAGTGTGTCATCACTCTATAAGACTGTGGAAGCCTCTTTTAACATGTATAAACCTATAAGTTTTCATTCAAGATCTAGAGATATAGATGTATAATGCCACTAAGAGCTTTAATAAAATATTATTTCAAATGAAACACCTAAACCAATGCCAGTAGTTTATAAGCTGTGACAACTGGTGCCAGTAGTTTATAAGCTGTGACAACTGGTGCCAGTTGTTTATAAGCTGTGATAACTGGTGACTGAGGCGCAGTGACACAGGGTGACATGCGCTGTTAAAGTTTGACCTAGAGACTTTGTTCAATGCCAACAGGAAAATGAATCAGTTGAAATGGCATTTAAAAAATGTAGAGAAGAACACCGGCTATAAATACACTTGTTTGTATCGAGGCGTATACAAGAATTGGGACACACTGACAGTCGTTTTGTTTGATGTTCAATCCCTTTGTAAATTAATAACTATGTAAGCAACTAATGTCATTACTATGACCAAAGTTAATGAAACATTTCATGATTAGAGTGTTAAGTTTTGAATTGGCTACTAGAAGAATGAATGTTTCTCTGTGTATGTAGATTATTAGATCGAAGATTAGACAAATTTAAAACAGGACACTTGCTTGTAACATGGCTGTTCGAGACTATGTAGATGTCAGCACAACAGTTTGAAACAAGTTTGACATTTGGAAAGATAAACATGCAGGAATAGTTTAATCTGGAACGTACCTAACACTAAATGCAAAGTCTGTCAAAATTTTGCCAAGGGGATTTTATTGCCAAGTAAGTAGATCTATAAGTTTTTGAGAATAAATTATTACCCAATAATTTTCAATGGTACCGGAGAATTTAAAACCAAATCAAATCATTTCTAGCTTTATCAGATATGCAAAAGTTCTCAATTTATGTCGAATGAGTAACTTTAGCAGTAAACAGCATAATATAGTATATCTTTTTAATGCTAAATAATACACTCTTTTGAAAGTTTAATAATAAAAGAATTAGTTCAATGAACTATGATTAATATCTAAAGGAAGGCATTACAATTGAAGATATAATTTTACAACATAAAAATGGAAGTACAGCTTAAGAAAGACAACTTCTCAGCGTCAGTCAACAGTTATCTCCTATGTATCAAACCTAGACAAATAAGATAAACTCCAAGACAACAAATAAGTGTATACAAACATTGTTTATTGCATTGGTTTTTATTTCTTGATGTAACATGAGCTGCAAGTAGGTGTTTACAATCGAATAGATCAAACAATATCTTCTTTTCAATTTAACTAACTGAAGTAATTAAGACACTTTCAATGCTGGGATAACATTCTATAATAATGGTCAAGTAAGGTTTGTCTAATGAGCTACATCAGTTCTATAAGTCCAGCTGATGAGATATTTGGGTTAGGTAGTGAGAGACTCAAAAGATACTGGGGTCATGTAATGGGAGCTTAATGAGATACTGGGGTCAAGTAATGGGAGCTTAAAGAGATACTGTGGTCATGTAATGGGAGCTTAAAGGGATACTGTGGTCATGTAATGGGAGCTTTAAGAAATATTAGGGTCAAGTAATGGGAGCTTAAAGAGATACTGGGGTCATGTAATGGGAGCTTAATGAGATACTGGGGTCAAGTAATGGGAGCTTAAAGAGATACTGTGGTCATGTAATGGGAGCTTAAAGGGATACTGTGGTCATGTAATGGGAGCTTTAAGAAATATTAGGGTCAAGTAATGGGAGCTTAAAGAGATACTGGGGTCATGTAATGGGAGCTTAATGAGATACTGGGGTCAATTAATGGGAGCTTAAAGAGATACTGTGGTCATGTAATGGGAGCTTAAATGGATACTGTGGTCATATAATGGGAGCTTTAAGAAATATTAGGGTCAAGTAATGGGAGCTTAAAGAGATACTGGGGTCATGTAATGGGAGCTTAAAGAGATATTTGTGCATATTTAAAACTACTTATTTTCTTATCCTTTTAAATGCTAAAAAAAAATAGTTATAAATAGTATAAAATAATTGAAAACCAAATGTATAATACAATTGAAATGAGTGCATACTTTACACAGTCTTTCAATACTGCACTATAAACTGGGCTGAAATATTCTCAAGAGAGTTTCTTTCACATTTTTTAAAAATCAAATTTGATTGGACATTGTTAGAAAATTGGATTACCGTACATAATTAGAAATGAGCATTACATTGTGTTTGACTATCTTTTTTTCAAGGAATGTCAATAATTTATCTAATACTAAATGTGAATATATCCATTTTACATTCATATTTTGTTCCCATATAAAATTGGAAAACCGTCAATGTTTCTTGATAAAGAAAAAACACCCATTTTTTTTTTAACCTCTTTTGCACTAGTGAAATAAAAAACAATTAATTTCAAAACCTGCACACAAAAACAAAACAAACAAAAAAGACATAAAAAAACAAAACAAACATCTCTTCTGGTTAGCATTAGACTGTAATGGTTAAGAAAAGTTGTTTCCATCTAATGCCTAGCCTCACAAGTCCACTTAGAAATACAGTTATCTTCCCTTCCCCACTACTTCCCTTTAATTTGTTTTTTGTTATGAAATACATACACAGAGTCCACACACACATATAAAATGAAATTATTTATTAAATATTTGTTCATTAGAAAAACTTGTAATGACCTATACAACACTGATGTTATTTATTTAAAATTGCAGAATTCTATTTTTTTGTACTGTAGGTTGAAGATAAGACTCACCCTCCCCCCACCACACAAGAAAAAATGTATGCAGTTAAAAAAGAAAACCAGCACTCTTATTTAGAATACAAAATAGAACAACTAAATAAAGATGTGTGTAAGGAAAAAAATATTCATGTCAGCTCTGTATATGTCCTCAGACTGGTGGCTTATTACACATTAGCTTTCAAAGTAAATGAAGCTAATTATGAATTCCAAATTAATAAATCAATAGAAATACAGTAGAACATCAGTTATCAGAAATGTCAAATCAGGACTGCCCTTTTGTTTTGTTTTTTTGTTTTGTTTTACAGTAAGGTATCTTAGTAATCATGCTGATGTGCAAGAAAAGATCAGCAATTATTTCTCTCAAAAATTGTATGCTGCTACGTATAAAGCTTGGTTCCCCTGTATATTTTACTTGAATTGTATTTTTACGTACCGCGTGATACCCACATTCAAATTTTCTTTATATTGTTGGTGAAAAGGACTATTTATAATATTCCGCATTTAGTTATCCAGAAGATCAATTACCTGGACTGACCCCATTCCCAGTCAATCTGGATGTTGTACTGTATAATTTATATGAATATGTCCTTAACAAAACACACATATTTAGAGGCAAAAATGTGTTATTCTCAATCTAATTGTGTGAAATGTACAATCTACTAAACTGTTAAAGGTTCAGAATCTTTAATGATAATAGAAACTGTTTCAAAGGATTCCACATTGATCAAATGTCAAGCTAGGACACTTGGACCTTATTGTGGAGTTTATCCACACTCTTGGTGTGAAGGGGAATAACTCCTTACTTCATCTTCTATACTTAAATTGTGTCAACATTGTAGCAAATGCACAATCACTTATTAAAATTGACATGGACAAAATGTTTTACAAACTTGGTTTTAAAGTTTGAGCTAGTAGTAAAGCTTCAAATAGGCCAGTTTCCTGAAGTATTTTCTTTCTTCTTTGGTGCTGTAGAGCTGGTCGTAAAGAAAGTCAATCACTGGTTAATTTGAAAGTCTTTATGTATATATATATACACACACATATATATTTCTTAATAGAGAACAATAATTACAGTTCTATCTTAACAGATGTGAGTCATTAATGGTACGACACAGTGAACATCATTAGCACTTTGAATGGTGCAAGTCAAATTTTAACTTGCAGATTTTCAAAAGTTTCCTTCTGATGGAAATTTATTTAACTCATTAAATTAAATATACATATTGAAAGGATGTAGGAATAGGGCCTAGAACCTTTGTCTAAATAAATATTGAAAATTACTTTTTGGGTAAAAAATTATTGCCATATATGAATTGCTCAGCATCATTAAATCTGGTTCTATTAGCTATTAACATAGCTATATATTTATATGTGTAACTACCTATGTTACAAAAGTAGTAACAGGTAAATTAACAAAGATTTTAGTGTATCATGAACTTAAACTGATATCACTAGCAATAACTAAAGTAAAACAATTTGGTCTTAAAGAATGGTCCTAAAAGAATCTGGTCTAAAAATGTTGTGCTCTATTACCTTCTCTGTATTTCTGTCAATTGTACTTTTGTGTGTCACACTGGGCAGCTGTATTGGTGAACCACCAAAAGACTGGTGCCATTGAACTTTTTTATTCAGTGTTGCATCCGTGTCATAAGCCCCAGCTCTACAAAACAATAGCACATTTTGAATAATGCCATATAAACAAAATAATACTTAAAAAGTCCTAATCATAACAACAGCATGTCCTGCAGTGCTGTAAGAGTCCTACAGCCATCTCTTTCAAAGCCTTTTAGGAGCAGGTTGTTTCCTCTATATCATTAGGAACACATACCACATGACCTTAAACTAGCTTTAGGAAGTTATCAATACTCTTCACAGTGATGCATACCAGATATGTAGTGATATACAATATAAAGAGAATGGTCATTGACTTTGATTTATGACAATGGAAAAGATCCCATGAATGGCTGTCTGGCTTGAACTAATACTAAGACTATTGATCCTTATTGCAAATTTGTTGGGATTACAAAGACTCTTTTCTCAAATACAAACAAGAACAATAATATTGACATAAATAGAACAGACACAACATATAAAGTTCATTAGGTGACTACACACAGACATCTTATCCTTTTAACCTTTCAAAGTCAATTATAAGCGCCAATATGGTATGACCAAGTAATGAATGAATGAGCTTTTGTACTGTTCTGTTCCAGTCTTAAGTGACAGATGTCACTCACTTTGCCATGACTTCACGTAGTTATAATGGAAGGGGGGGGGGGTGTCTTCTAAGATTTTTCTGACTTTACTGAGACATTTTTGTTCAAAAAGTTCATTTAACATATAGTAGTGTTGTAATTGTTAATGCTCATTTTTTAAGGTTATTATTCCATATGTTAGCAGGTTTTGTATTGTCACACAGAAAAAAATGATCCAAGATCTTCTTGTGTAGTTTAAAGCTGTTAGGTTTGTAATGGAAAAATAGCAGCTGTGTGATTGTCTTTGCCAGAGTTTCAATATGGTCTTCCCACGAAAGCTTGTTGTCAACAATGACACATATTTATTACACTTTATTGATAATGACAAAAAAAATTGTAAAAAGACTTTTGATCAGTGATGAAAAGGAAAAAAAAAAACGAATGAATACAAATAGATGATATCAATAGTTCAAAGAATGTCTTTCAAAACTGCTCAGAAACTTAGGAGCAGAATCAATCCTTTCTATTAAGTAGATATAAACTAGATCCAATATTATTACAAAATATATAAAAAGTGTCAAATGCAAAATTTGTATGACAATTCTCAAAGCCTCTACAGAATGCACAAAATCTAAATCTCAAAAATTCTTTTTTTTTTTTTTTTTGCATTAGATCATAATGTAAAATCTTCAAAACATTTTTGATTTTGATTTTTTTCCAATTTAACAACTAAGAGAAATCTAGATTAATGTCTAAGCCCTGAAGCTAAGTTGATAAGCTTATGGGGACTTTTTTTTTAAAACAGCAAATAATGCATTATGCAAGCACTACACATAAATATATTCTAGCCAGATTAGTTTTTTTGTAAATTAACTAAAAATTTGTATTAGGACTTTGGTTTAATATAGTAAATAAAATAAAGATTGTGAAAAAAATGTATGAGTGTTCGAACAATTTAAGGACTATTCAAACAAATTTGCTGCCTTGTCATGTAGTACGCACTCTCAGACTATGATGTAGATTGTCTTCAACTCTAAAAGAACATCCTTAACATGTAAAACATTTTACAAACATATTTCTACAAACATTTAAAGAGAATTTGAGAATTAAAGGAAATTTAAGGAGATACAAAAATATTTTGCATGCACTTGATGCATATTAAATATATTAGCATAATACAAGGTAATTCGATAAAATGGTATTTTATTGATTGAAGTTTACATTTTTGTTAAGACCATCATCTACTGATCTAGCATGGAGACACAGATTCAAATCTTGCCATTCAAAGGTGCACTAAAGATTTGAGAATGTCTCCAGATTTAAAGGATATCAGACATTTGTTATGGATAGCAGTAGTCATGGTGTCATGGACATAATATTAATACAACATTGCCAATATGAACAGGCATCACAAAGTCAATATATCCTTTTGTGTTCTTTGTAATGATTTTGTTTTGTGTTAAAAGTAGTTTTTTTGTTGTTCTTTTTTTATTTTAAAAAAAAAAAAAAAAAAAAGGTCAATGACCTGTTTTAGAAACACTATGGTTCATTCTACTCACCCTGGTATTACATCAATGATTTCTCTTCTAAACAGTGGGAATCTTTCAGAGCCTACACCAAATGGTTTGTTTATTTGAAGAGGATTTAAAG